GGGGCATTGTTGAACGCAATCTGCAGGAACAAGAAATGATTCTTTCTTATTTTGAAACAGAATTCAAAATAAAGGAGGATTTAATTCGGTTGCTTTATGAAGGCCGACGCCGTGCCGATAGATACGTTATACACGAAACGAAAATAGCCAGTACGGTGGACGCGTTCCTTTCCAAAAAGGGATTATCAGGAGCTCCCAGTGCCGAGGGGGTAGTTCAACTCAAGAAGGAGCGGTACTTTCTGGAAAATCCCGGGAGGAATGGAGCTCCTTTGTATAGGGAACTCGAAGAACTCTTCTAAGGGGGCCCCAAGCCGAAAAAAAGCAAATCTCTTTCGTGATTTTGTAGGTGTAGGTATATAGTGAAGTGATACCGAGGCCCTCTCCACAACCTAGTAGTTGATGGGTATGGGGAGGGGAGAGAAGAGTGGGTATGAGGGCTTCTCTCGCCATCCATAGCCCCCTTTCTTTAAAATGCAAAGTGGACGTTCCCGCACGAATCTCCGGAATTCGGATTCCTGATATTGATCACTAGAATCAAGCTTTTTATGAGGCTCTCTGCCCGCTATGTAAAATAACCTGACTCTGAGTAGTTACATACTACTCTATATAACATAGAAAAAGCAGGCTACCCATAACGGGAGAACCAAATCCTCATTGAATTGGATTTATCAATTCGAAGGGGGGTCGTACAAGGTCAGCAGTACCCCCTGTGAATCCACCACCTGTATGATAAGTTCTTAATGTTAGTTGAGTGCCAGGCTCTTCAATAGATTGAACCGCAATAATACCTACGGCTTCCCCCAATTCGGGGGGGGCCAATCTTTGTTTAAGGATGTTGGATAGGTGATTCATCAATGATGCCGATTGGGAATCTAAGGAGGGGGCTCCGCCCTAGTACCGCTATATATCCATCTTCTGATAGTGGGTGGTTTTCGTACGCGTAGCGCCTTGCTACCAAGTGCCAGTAGTGTAGGAGATCCCTGCAATAAGAGTTGTGAGTGAAATCGGTTGCTTGTTGCTAGCGGGAAGGAAGGAAAGGTCAGATTACCAAAAAAGCCAGCTGCATGTATACTCGTAGGAAACGACAAGATCAGATAGAACCGATAGAAAGTAAGAAGGGTAAGCAATCCTCTGATTCTATTTTTATAGTCGTCCGTCATTCGATCGATAGTGCAAGCCTAAAAGTCAGCTATTTAAATAGTCAGGTATTGAAATAGCATGGTATTAAAAGGGTACCGAACTTCTATACTATAATAGTACCGAAGGCCTTTTCTTGTCTCACCGGATATGAAATGCAACCTTCTACTAAAAGTATGGGGGATAATATATTTTATCTAATTAGTACCCTAAGGATACTCTTTTTTCTGCACGAACGATATACAAGTACTATCTATGTATTTGGTTACCTATGACCTATTACCAACTTAACTATGTTGGTCTTTCCCATTGAATGTCAGTCTTGAAACATTGCCTTGTATATTCAGAACAGTAATGAAATGTCTCTGAATCTGGTATCCAAACGTTGTAAGTCGTACCCGGTTATACGTATCACCCAACAACACGTCAAGGATGGTATCTCTTGAATAGGCGTATGAAAGATTTCTTGCTTCTTTCGAGGAACCGGACACTGGCGCTTGGGTAAGGCGTTCTCGCAGCAAAATCCTTCGTGAGGTCTATCTACTGGGCTTGAGTTTGAGGTCTACATCGTAGGTAGGGTCTTCTAAAAACCACATGAACCTTCACTCTTCTGTCTGAGGAGGGCAAATATAGGTATAAAGCCTGGGCGAGTGTCTTTGTCCAGCGCGAGAAAGCTCGGAATTGAATGCTTTGAATGCGCAAAATGAATGCTTTGGAACAGTTGGTACTTTCAGATCGGAAGATGCTCTTTGACTTTCGCCTCTATTGTTCATACTTATTTATGTGCTGCCAGTCGTACTCCTGTTAAAAATCCAATTTTTGATACAAGATAAGAAACGCTTCGTGCCTCGCATTTGACGGGCGGAGTTCAATGGATGCTATTTCTCCTGAGCTTAATCTCGGAAGTGAGTTAGCGAATAATAAATTATTTCCATTCTTCCAGATCATTCTTTCTTTTCCCACGACTCCGTGTTGGTTTTGCAGTAGAATGAGCTGCAGACTCCCAGTGTTATTTCAACCTTAAGTTCCATCGACTTAAGCGTAAGCGCCCCACCTCTCTTTTGAGAGTGCGAGAGATTTCCGCGGCCTGTAAACACATGGTTTTTCCAGCCGTGACCCTAATTTACTTACTGATTTTAAAACCTACCTCCGGCCGCCCATTGGTTAGGATCGCCCTTTGGTTGGTGGAAGCGAGAATCATCTTTTGATTTTTTTAAGTTTCCCGAAAAAACTGAAAAAGCTTATATTATATATAGTATCTGGCATGCCTAAAAGAGATAGCTGGCTTAAAACACGACAGAAGTAGGACGCACTGAGGCCGAGCTTTACTGCTTGAGTAATTGTCTTTCCAGTAGAGCTTTCC